TTGGGCAATCCTACTTCCGTAGTGATAACTGCCTCGGAAACCCAAGGAGGGGTCGCTAGGAGTCGGGGCCGACTCTATGGCAAATAACAACAACAAGGATATCTTAAATAAATTTTAACAGGAGAAGGAACTTTTCCAACAGCAAGGCCCTTTTCCTTCAATTATATTATTCTGAAACTTCAAAAGTACAAAACAGAACTTACTATTAGAGGGTTGTTACTAGGGAAACATATTTGATTTTGAAGAGAATATTCTATAATCAGATTTTTGTACTTAATCAACAATTCTAGTTTCTAGTCAAAAAATAAAACCTAGAGTCTGAATTAGTAAAATAATTTTATTCTAGTAATAATGACATGAAACACTCTTTTGGAAAATTTCACCTCTTTGCAATTAATCTTCATATCAAAGAAAGAAAAAAAGAAGAAATAATGTGAGAAGCCAGGAAGTTGAGATTTCTCAATTCCTAAGCTATCAAAAAGCTCAAAATGTTTAGTAAACAAACTTGTTGTTTGTTGCCCCCCATGTGAACAGAGTAGAATTGCTCCATAGTGTTTTCAAGGCTGTGACCTTTCAAAAGCACACTGCCAGGCCTGTCTTCCAAGTCCCCTCTGGGTAGGTTCGAACCAATAACCTTCCACCAGCTAATAATCAAAAGCTTAACTGTTTGTGCCACCCAAGGATACCTAGTAAACACATTAATATTCTTCAAAACATAAACCCAGTATCTGATTAATAAGATGTGTGGAAGTACCTTTACATATTCATTAGAGCTGTTCTAAAGTCATTAACTTTTCACTGGCACTCAGCTGATAACTGAAAGGTTGGTGGTTCAAAATCACCAAGAGGTTCCATGGGAAAAATACCTGGTGATCTACTTCCATAAAGAGTACAACCTAGAAAACCCTATGTGACAATTCCGTTCTATCACACAGGGTCTCAAGGAGTCAACACGGATTCAGCAGCACCGAGCAACAACAATATATGAAAATCAATACATCAATAGCATGGATAATCCCATTCAGCTAACTCAAAATGGACAGTCTAAGAATTGGAAGGTAAAAATTACAACTTTGTATTTCTCCAATAAAGCATTAACAAATTAAGCACAATGTGTAATCCCCTGGACATCCCATGATTTCCCCTGTAAAAGGATCACAGGAATACCCATTCTACACTCATCACAGGTTTATTGCCAACATTGAATGAAACTGTACATGAAACTACAGTGGAAATGGTAAATATAAACAAACTATGACTGCTGCCATTTGAATATTTTAGTAGATTCACATCTGAAGCCATTTATCATTAAATCCTTCGGAGGTGAGACAACTCTAGATTCAGGTTTCTCTATCTAGAGTTCTTTGGATCCCATCAACTCTTTACCTTCCTTCCCTAGAAATCTCTCACTCCAAACACTCTTCTTTCCTCTCAAACATCATTTTTCCTTTCTCTTCCTCTTTCATCTTTTACTGCCTTCCTTAACCTCCAGTGTTTTCTTCCGCCAAAATGCAAAATAAAATCAAAAGAGCAAAGCAAGCAATGTATAAAAATAGGTAACTCCCATTCCACAATGCATTTACAGAAAACGTCAGTTCTAAATTCTGTTCTATAAAACATGAACTCTCACTTAGAGCTGAAAGCCAAAGGACCAATCTGAGTTTACCCTGTATAAAGTTTTTTTGTGGTATATAACATGTCAGAGTGTATAAATTTTCTTTATAACAAAAAGTAGTGAGTATTAAATTAAGCATGACAGCTGCAACACTGAGGAAACTTACCTCTAAAATTTTATCAAGGAAGGTTATGGCAGCAACATAATCTGAGCTTTCAAAAGTGTGAAGTGCTTGTGAACGCAAGTGTTGCATTTCATCAGATTTTATAAGTTGGGACTTAGCTTCCTTTTCTTCATTTTCACTTGGATTAGATTTGAGCTGTAAGAATAACATCACATTAAATTATACAATGTTTTTAATCTCTTAAATCTAATATCCATAATAGGTACAAATATCTGACCCTTTCAAATACTTAAATTCATTAATGGAAAGGAGTAAAAAGACAATGACAAACTGGCTGGTCCAATGACTTGCTCCTTGGTGATCATCACCATGGGAGGTGGCAATGAAGACATCTGTATTTCTACTCATACAGTACACAAGAAAGAGCACTGTATCTAGAATCAAAAGACCTGGTTCCCCGCAAACTCCCAGGAAGCAGATACACTTAGGAATATGAAAGGACAGAAAAAAATGAAGTAAGGAAAGGACCTTTTTCACTTATATATAGCTTTGCATACCAAATTAACATCTTCTATTTATTCTTAGGAAATATAGTTATATTTCCTAAGTACAATATATAAATATAAAATAATTTTATCAGAATAACGAAAAGCACACAGAAATTGAGGAAGAGGGAAGATTTTTAGAGGTTACAGGATAGAAAAAAGATTTGATACTGATGGATTATGGTGCAATAAAAAGGGAAAATTTTACAGATGAAAATTGGAGTGAAGTGCCACATCAAAAGGTTCATAATGAGGTTTTAGGAAGTTTGCATTTTGCCTTTTTTTCCCCCCCCACTGGGTTTATTGAGGTATAATTAATGAAAATCACCTATTTTGAGTGTATAATTTGATGATCTTGAATAAATTGAATAAATTTATTAAGTTGTGAAACCATTATCACGGTTTTGAACACTTCTATAACCCCAATAAGATTCCTTGTGTTCATGCAAGTGCACACTGACTCAATAACTTCTTCCTCCAAATGGAAAATCCCACACTTACTATTTCAAAAAAAATGGGTACCTACATTGAGAAGATACTGATTTCTTTTGGAACTTCTTTCTTTATTACATATAACTTTATATGTAATAATACTTGAAATCTAATATTCTTGCTAATATGGATATTGTAATTAATGGCAGTTGATGGGTTCATTCTGAATGAGAGACAGATGTGGAAAGGTTATTTCTATAAATCTTCTCTTTCCCTCAACAGATCAAATATAAAGCTTCCCTTTTCAGAAGATTCAGTTTTTAAAAATAGCCCCACTACCCATATTGTGGCAGAGAACATTTCAAGTAAGAAATGTTAAGAATTATTTCTTGGTACAGGGTCTGTCCACCACTCATCTGTCAGTTTGTTCTCCAGTGGTGGCTTGCGTGTTGCTGTGAAGTTGGAGGCTATACTACTGGTATTTCAAATACAAGCAGGGTCACCCAGGGTGGACAGGTTTCAGGAGAGCTTCTAGAAAAAGACAGACTGGAAAGAAGGATGGGGGCCATCCACTTCTGAAAAAAAAAAACTGGCCACTGAAAACCTTATTAATAACAGTAAAACACTGTCTGATACATTACTAGAAAATTTTATGAGTAGCCATGAAGCATTGTCTGATATAGTGCCAGAAGAAGAGCCTTCCCAGGTAGGAAGGCACTCAAAATACGATCGAGGAAGAGGTGCCACCCCAAAATAGAGTTGACCTTCATGATGTGGATGGAGTAAAGCTTTCAGGACTTTCATCTGCTGATGTGGCACAACTCAAAACGGGAAGAAACAACTGCAAGCATTCACTAATAATCAGAACATGGAATGTGCAAGGAATGACTCTGAAAATTGGAAGTAGCCAAAAATGAAATGTAACACATAAAGATCAGTATCCTAGGCATTGTACTGGCCTTTGCCATTCTGAATCAGACAATCATATGGTATACTATGCCAGGAATAAAAAATTGAAAATAAATGGAGTTGCATTCATCATAAAAAGAATGTTTCAAGATCGATCTTGAAATACAGTGCTGTCAGTGATAGGATAATATCCATATACCCAAAGAAGACCAGTTAATACTACTATTATTCAAATTTATGCACCAACCACTAAATCCAAAAATGAAGAAACTGAAGATGTTTAACAATTTCTGCAGTCTGAAACTGACCAAACATGCAATCAAGATGTATTGATAATTATTTGGTGACTGGAATGCAGAAGATGGAAACAAAGAATCACCGGTAGTTGGAACATATGGCCTTGGTGACAGAAGTGACACTGGAGATCACATGATAAAATTTTGCAAGGCCAATGGTTTATTTATTGCAAACACCTTTTTTCAACATCATAAACAGCAGCTATATGCATGGACCTTGCCAGATGGAATTCACAGAAATGAGATCGACTACATCTGTGGAAAGAGGTGATAGAGAAGCTCACTATCATCACTTAAAAAAGGACTACGAGCTGATTATGGAACAGACCATCAATTGCTCATATGCAAGTTCAAGCTGAAGCTGAAGAAAATTTTAAAAGTCCACAAAAGCCAAAATATGACCTTTGTTATATCCCACCCAGATTCAGAGACTATCTGAAGAACAAATTTGATGCATTAAACACCAATGACAGAAGACTAGATGAATTGTGGGATAACAATCAAGAATATCATACATGAAGAAAGGAAAAAAGTCATTAGAAAGACAAGAACTGAAGAAAAGACCAAAATGGATGTCAGAAGAGACTCTGAAACTTGCTCTTGAATGCAGAGTAGCTAAAGTGAAAGAAAAAAATGCTGAAATAAAAGAGCTGAACAGAATATTTCAAAGGGTGGCTTGAGAGACCAAGTAAAGTCTTATAATCAAATGTGCAAAGACATGGAGTTAGAAAAGCAAAAGGGAAGAATATACTTGGCATTTCTCCAGCTGAAAGGACTGAAGAAAAAATTCAAGGCTCAAGTTGCAATTCTATGAGCAAAATAATGAATAGTACAGCAAGCATCAAAAAAAGAAGAATATACTGTATCATGAGGATGAAGGACTTGCTCTCAACTCAATGTTCATACAAAGAAAACGAAAATTGTAGGCAAGTCACTCCAACATACAATGACCAATTAAATATAAATACAAAAACGTCACAATGCCTCGAAGTAAACAGAGCATCACAGTACAAAGAAGCACGATAAAGCAGGAGAAACAAGGGACCAGGATACAGACCCAAAACACATCCCTGAGAAGATGCAGCATTGATTCCTTGATAAGGAATTCAAAATAATTATATTCAGATATCTTCAATGAATTGAGAGACAGATCAAGGAAAATACAGAGAAAACCCTGGAACAGTTTCAAAAGACAATACAAGAACAAAATGACAAAATAAATGAAAAATTAGATGTGATACAAAATCTACAGAAAGAAATCCAGAAGATTAATACTAAATTTTCAGAAATAGATAAGACATTAAACAGGCAAAGGAGCAGAACTGAATCAACATAAGACAGAATTGGTGAGATTGAAGGCAAATACCTGAACACTTCTTTGGAAAGGGATCAATCAGAAAAATGATCAAGACAAAATGAAGAATGCCTAAGGTTCATGTGGATACCATCAAAAGGAATAACCTATGTGTAATCGGAATTCCAGAACAGGAAGAGACAAATAAAACCACAGAGAATATTGTCAAAGATTTGTTGGAAGAGAATTTTCCTGGTATAATGAAAGATGATAATATATCTATTCAGGAAGTCCAATGAACCCCAAACAGGACAGGCCCCAAAAGAAAATCAACAAGACATATCATCACCAAACTCACCAAAACCAAAGATAAAGAAAGAATCATGAGAGCAGCACGGGAGAAACAAAGAGTTACCTACAA